AGGATGATACACTAATAAACATGACAGAAAAGTCAATCATAAAAAGCAACTTTTCAAAATATTTTACAATAGGAAAAACATCCTTAAGTTGTAGGGAAGAAAAGCCCATAAAATTTACTAGAGAGAAAACACTTCTTAAAAATACACGTAGTAAAACAAAGTCTTATCTAAATAGGAAGACTACATAACCAAGATCTGTCACAATCCATCTACTGCTCATTTTGACAGTGGCCAACATCACGGAACAGGAGAGCCGTTCCAGCAGATGAGAAACTCCACTAGAAAATACTCCCAAATTGTTTGGAAAAGTGATAATTCAATTACTGTTAATGTTGCTTATGTGTTTAGTTAAAGTAATCACTGATATAATTTAGTCTCAAGTTTTTGTTGTGTTCTTTTTTTAAATAGGGAGGGCTGTCTTGTTTTGAGAAGAGGCTACAATATATCTGTACAACGTAGAACTCAAATTTAAATTCTTGTTTCTATCACATGCACTCACTTGCAAACACCTCTCATCAGTTTGTCTGTTGTTTCCTGTTCTCATTTTGTCCTCAGTACTTAAGTTTCTCTGCCCTTCTATCCTAACTCTACTGTTCATAAGCACAAATGAATTTAAAGCAGCAGATATTGCTGGTTTACAGAACACATTAGGAAAAACGCAGAGAGTAATTTGCCTATTCTTGTGTGTTTTAGTAACATTCATTTAATTCCCTACTGAGCTCTTGTTTTCCCTTAACTTCAACTGACAGAGAATATCCTTAAAAAAAAAATAAAAAAAATCACACTGTGACAGATAACTTTCTCATTTACCCCAGCCTGAGCATTAGTAAAGAAACACACATCCCCCCAAAAGAAACCTCCACAAAACAAACAAGCAAACCCCAACCAAACAAATAATAAAAAAAAAAAACACAAACACAAAACCAACAAACTACCAGAAAACCTTACAGCAATCTTTAGCAAAAATATTTTTAAAAAGGGATTAGCTTCCAGGTAGAGAAACATTTGATTTTTCACTAAAAAAATAAAAATAAAAAACACCAAAAAAACCCCCCAAAAAACCCACAATTGGGTAATTACTGTGCAAGTGTACCAGAAAGTCTGATAGTCTAATATCCCATAGCTACTTGTGTTCATCAACCAAATTAAGACAATTTCTTATCAGGATATTGCCATCCATATATTAAAAAGAATTATGCTTACCTGTGATACCCTCTGACAGCAGATCAGTCATTTTGCAGCACAGCGACAGTAATCTAGTAGTGTAATCATCTAAAAGAATTATCTAAATATATTAAAAAACCACAAGTATTTAGATAAAGAAATAATGTGGGTTTACTGTAGCTGATTAATTAACAACTTGCCACAGAAATTTGAAGCTGAAATACATTATCACTTGCATATTGCAACTTTGCAGTGGGAAATTAATCTCAAACAGCATCAGAAGGCAGCTCCCTACATACAGGATTTCAAAAGATGAGCTCCATCTTAAACAAGCAGCTTGTCCCCACTACTCCTACTAGAAAGTATTTAAAAACTTTCAGTTTGACACAAGTCTTTTGAATTCCTGTCTAATTTAACCCATGGCCTGCTTAAATATATCTGTACTTATTCTAAAACAGGTTTACAGCTATAAGTCTAACAGGTGTCATACTTCTGAATCCTACTCCATATATACTGCACAGCGATATAATTTTTGAAATTAATAAAGTCTTTCAAAAGAAAAGTGAAGATAACAGAAACAGTTTCTCATTTTTTTTCAAAACTTAAAAAAAGAAACCAGACAACTAACCATTCGGTCTTCCTATGCGAGCCCTTAGATTTTTCATTATGTATTATACAGAGATCCGAGTTAACAGAACTAAAATCCATTACTTGGATAGAAAACAATTTTAAGTGAAAGTGACAGCCATTAAATTATACTTATTTGTGGTGTACTCAGTGATACAGATTACGTGTTTAAGTGATTCTTACAAAAATAACTATACCTTCCATTCGTCCTCTTTCCTGCAGTCATCGAATACTAATGATTTTAGCTCTGTAAGAAGAAACATTTTATGAGTAAGAGGAATCAAATTGTTACTAAAAAAAATAATTCACCCATTTAGATTCATGTTTAGAGATCTAATAAGGAAACAACAAAAACAACATCCACTGATAAATAAGTCTACAGAATTCTTGACCACAAACCGTCTCTGCCTTTTTCAGAAAGATGTAGCTAAATTTTTCATTTTTGCTAACAGATCCATAAAAATCAGTCTGAACGACCACAGGCCTGTACATATTTCTATTTTTTTAGTGAACTCTTCCACTAAATAGATCGCGTGCATGCAAAAAGTTTAAGCTACTCTTTAAGATAAGGCACCCATAAAGAGACCTATTTTAAAATATATGCTACCTTCAGATGTCCTTGTTCTTTCTTGAGAATCCCAGAATAAGCCTAAGAAAATACCAGTTCTTTCAGAAATTGAAAGTTATCTTAAATAAGGTATGGATCATATTTTTCTGCTATGACAACTTTGGGAGAAATGTCAATCAAAAACTTGTACAGGATTAAGCAATAGGTGTCATCATGTAGTTATGACCCACAGCTTTTAAAGATCACCAGACTATGAGTTGCAACTTTCAGGCGTGGTGTCATCAGGCAAATGCAGATTTGATCTCACAGCAGTGGTATGTATTGATTAAACATCAGAAGATTTTGGGAACTGTTTAACACCTGGTGTTTATAAATATAGAAACAAAGAAGTCTGATTATTGTTTTCTTTTCCCAGAGAACAGAATTTCACATTAAGCTGATGACTACCTGTGTCTATTAAAATAGCTCAACCTTTTTCCCAAATGAAAAAATGAAAGTAATAGAAACAGAAGCCTAAAATACAAATGAGCAAATTCAGTACTCATTTTGTGATTACTGCCAAGTGAAAGAAGCATAAAAAGGTTCAAAGTAGTAGGTGCACATACAACAAAAAGTACACCTATTTCTTCAGTGTTTATAAATATTAATATATTCACTTAAGCCCAAGTCCCTTTGGACTATCACTCCATATCTCTACTGCCATCTTCCAGCGCCTCACAATTCAGCAGTTTCTTCCAGCTGAGCAGCCTACCTGCTCACCCAGCCTTAACTTCATTTCAGTTTCACCAACTCTAACACTGCATAGCACGCAACACTCCCAAGATGTCACACTTGAGGCTTCTCATGTGTAGTATTTTACAGAAGCGTCCTACACAGCCTCTTTCACAGTAACACAAGAAGAGCACTTTATGGTTTAGCTTTCCAACATGCTCAAGTTACTTTTTGCAACATCGACATTCTTCATAACTTAAAAACCTTCCAATGCACTTCATCTAACAAACTGATAAAAACACTAGTCTAAGAGTTACTTAAGCAAAAAGCACACGTTTCAAGAGGGATGCAATTCTTATATTTTCTTGAGGCTGCTAAAAAACAGAACACAAGCTCAGTTCTCCTGAACCTTCTTCTCCTTACACAAGACCTGAAATCCACTATTATTCCTCAAACTTGCCCTCTGGGTTGCTTCCAACTCAACATCCTTTGTAATACACAATCCACAGTGTTCAACAAGTTCTAGGTCTGCTTAGCCGGATGTAGAGACACCTGTGACTTCTTTGGATATACCCTCTATAGAACTGTAGAATGCGCATCACTCCATTGTTGCTACCAAGCTGTATTTTTTTGGTGATACCTGAATGCAGGAAGTAATACAAGCACATTTTTTCCTCTCCCTTTTATACTGTGTATTTGTTTCCTAGGTCTATACACAAGGTGCAAGAACAAATCTTTAGCCTCATGAAGATTGTTAACCTTCATATTTTCTGAGAATACTCTTACCAAGGAATTAGTACTTAGCATTACACAAAGTTCTTTTTAATAAGCTGAGAACCTGAGAGCCTTGTCCAAAATCTCAAATATATTTTTTCTACAATACTTTAACTTACTTGTCTATAAATAAACCAAAACATATAAATGCAAAATCCAGTTACGTCTTGAACTTCATTTCTGTAATTGTTTTGTCCTCAACTCACAGCTGCTTTACCCAAATAACTGATCAATATGCTGGTTTGCAGGATCTCAAAATCTTCTCATTTGTCTCCAATAAGCATTCTGAATGCACCGAAAACAATCATAAACCAGGTATGAACAGTGCTCCATTTTTCTTCAAGCTTTCATTTGCTTCTTACAAATTTCACACCTACCACGCATCCTAACCACCTTCTCCAATTTTGTCTTCTCTGAATACATTCAATTAAAGGCATTTTTCTTCTACTTTTACTTCTCAATACAGATAAGAACTATACAGAACTCCTGAAACAGCAGGCTGATAAATCCCTGTGTGGACAAAACAAACAAACAAACAAAAAAGCAAACCACACCTTGGCAAAGTTAATGACCCATTTATAACACACTTCCTGAAGAAAGGACTAAAACAGCTTTCACTGTAGGTAAGTGTTCTGGAAAATAAGGTTGCAGAAATGCTGAACCTTTTTTAAAAGTTAATGTAGGTATCTATGGTCAGGCAAGAATCTTCTTATGCAAGTCTAGAACACATTTTAAAGTTGTAAAAAAAAAAAAAACTTAATTCCTTGTAGAAATAACATTATTTACAGACACAAACACATGGCGATGTTGTATATAGTTAGCTTTATAATTTTATCCACAGGAACCACTGCCTTGTAAATACAGGTAGCCTCCCCTGTCCCCATAACTGTGAACTTAACTGACAACAAACTTCGGTGAAGTAATCTTCTCACACACTTCTGCTTTGATTCAATCTAAAACTGTGCCTTACAGAAAGGGCTATCATAACAGGAAGAAGGGTTTTTAACAGCACCCTACCAGAGCACAGGTACAACACTCTACACACAACACAGGTACAACTTCCTTGCCTATTCACACAACAGGAATAAGATACACATTGACAACAAACTGCTACATGAAGCAGCAGCATCACTGACATGTTATTTTCAGACAAACCAGCCTTAAAAAAACAAACAAAAACAAAACCAAAAACAAGCACATTTGCTGAAACATAGTAAGCAGCAGTTTATGGCCTTGAATTATCCATAAGTGAAGCGCCAGACAATACCTAAAATTCATCAATCTTCACTGTTGTTGTAGTCCTGGAAAAACAAGAGTAACTAGCTATCTAACAAAGCATTCTTTTCAGAAGCAGCTTCCTTTTTACAAAGTTTGGGATATAAATGTTTTATTATTCACACTGCTTCACCATCACTCTCATCTTTCTTCCTTACTGTCTTGTCCACACTGGCAGTGCCATTTTCAAAAGTCCTCCTACACCCTGATGACACACTAGTGCTTTGATCAGGTTCCCTCCTTTTAAGGTCCAAGCCTTCTATGAAACACCTCAGGACAAAACACTCACTTTATAAAGGCACAAACAACTTAACAGAGCAAGACAGGACAACTAAAGCAGCAAAAGTAGGAATTTCTAAAGGTCAAGCTTTAACTCGTGTGAGCAGGGTACAGATGTCAGTAATCAAGAGCTGAACACCACAGGAACAGTCTGCTTTCTTCTTTCTCCCCTTTTTCTGTTTTCCCTTCCAGTGACAGAAGCAAGCAGACTGGCGCTTGCAGGTGGGAGCAGAAGAGGAAAGCACAGCCGAGAAGGCAGCAGGACCCTCCCGTTTCAGTGACAGTCCCGAGGCTGGCTGAGCTGGAGTCACAAACCTCCGCACAGCTACTTGAGGTGGTAGCTAACACCTTCCCCCACAGGCCTCTCACTCACTCCCTGAGGCACCATGAGCCCTTCTCCTCCACCGAGACACGGAGCGGCTGCACCTTCATCTTCCGTACACCGGCACAACCTGCTCCTCAACACGGCTATAGAGACTGGCCGTTCATTTCTGAAAGTATCTGGGGACACCTTCAGCTTTTTCTCCTGAAAATCGTGAAGCCCAACATAAGGCGGGCAGCGCCACCTCATGACAGACCCCGAAGCCGGGAGCACTCCCCAAACCTGCCATTTCGGAAGCAACGCGGAAGTCCTTGAAGAGCTCCCTCCACTGTAACCTCTTCACGAGCTGGCACGGCTGGCTCTACCACCCTGATCTCGGAATAAGGCAAAAACGTTTTCAGCCCGGTGCTGTTA